GATGCAAGGTTGGGCCGTGAACCCTCCATCCATGACCATAAACCCTTCATAAGATCAAGGTTGGGCTGTGAACACATCATGTGTTTTATGGTCGTGAACCCTCCTAAGGTCGTGAACACTCCATATGTGGCCGTGAACACCCTTCATTGAATCATATGTGATTCTAACACTCCATAGAGAGTGTTTCCTAGTTCCTAAGGTTGTTTCCCTTGCATGTTGGTTGTTATATACAGTAATTGTATACATATATTTGTCATTATATGCTTAATAGGATCTTTTTGTGCTCGAGACTTCACTTGGCATACTTAGCATCCTATATCGATCTTTCATTTGAATCACTCACTACAGGTGCGTTCATACCCCTATAATCTATCTTTTAAATGTTTTTAAATGCTTTTAAGGGGGTAATATAAGTAGAATACAATGAAATTGTGTTAACCATTTACATGTGAAAACAACATCTGAAAGGATTTCTTATACTCAAAACTTATTGAAAACTCTTTTAAATCTCTTATAAACTTCTTTTATATCAAATCATATTCGTCTATCTATTTACGTATAAGTATGCTTTAATAGACTTAGGCCTATTGCTAGATACCTTGACTCATGTTCCTGTTTGGTTGTGGGCTAGGGGTAGGATCACTAGTCTAAATGTCGGTTAAATCATAGTTATACCTATTAAATACATATATGAATATTAAACCCATTTTAAGGTGCATACTTAACTTAGTTGCTTATGGTTAGTAATTGAGTCTTTTTCTACAAATCTGTAATAGTCAAACAATCATACTAGTAAACTATAATAGGTATAGTTTAGAGGATTACTACTTACTACTTCTAGAACAGTGAAACTTATAGGAGTCAGTTCATACATGAGTCAGTTCTTACATACTATAACTAGAACAGAAATGAACATACTATAACTAGAACAAGAAGGAACATACATACTATAACTAGGACAAGAAGGAACATACTATAACTAGAACAGGAAGGAACATACTATAACAAGAACGAGATAACATTAATGTGAGCCACTACTTCATGGCATAGCAATATATTTGTTGTGTCACGTTTTGAAACCAGAGGCTGCTGGAGGGAGAGCATGAGTTTGTTTATAGATCTATACGTGATTTCCCATCCTACACCTTGTTGCTAGCTATAGTGGGACCTGCAGGTCTACGGGTGACAAATGTCATACCATTTCGACGTCTTTAGATCGTCGTGTTTTATACTAGTCAATCAAGCATAGTTATAACCTCATCACATTTTACCTTAATATAGCTTATTGGTTTTATGGTAGTTAGTACATCAGTAGTTACTTTATACAATACTACCGTACATCTTCATTTTCCCATTACATTCATATAGTGATATTCTCACAAAAAAAGTAATGCAAACTATTTTCTAGTAAAGATAGTCATAAACTTGGGAAACCATTCATTTTTAGGAGAGAACAAACTTACAAAACAGTCGGGTCTTGGTAGAAGACTACTCCATTTTAGTAGAAAATATAGGATTTTCTAGGAAGTATACAAACAATTACATCAAAATACTTACAAACATTTTCATCAAACTAATGTAAACATTTGACACTAAAATACTTATGAACTCACCAGCTTAAATGCTGATCTACTCTTTCAAGATAAATTGTATTCGCAGGTCACCAGTAGATAGGTACAGATGGCCAGGTTTTGGAGAAGACGGAGCATATTCAAGACTCGTCTTTATTTTGATTATATATTTTTGGTGTCTTACAACTTTACATAGAACACATTTGTATTAACTATATTATTAATGCAATGGATGATGTTGTTGCTATTTTTACTATTGTGCATAGTTATGATACTGAACATGACGTCCTCCGTCCCCGAACGTTTCGCCATTCCGATTTGGGGGTGTGACATTATCCTAAGATTCAATTGGAGATTGAAAGAGCTATTAAGGTAACTAACATACCTCTAACTCTTCTTAATAGACTTGATAGAGGACGTCATATACATAGTTGTTATATTTTATGTTACTAAGGTAAATGAGTCACTAGTAGATACCAATCACAGTATACAAGCTATCAGAAGCTATGTCAGACCTTATAAGGATGCATAGGAGAATGACATGGAGAGACAGATTCATTTATGTGGTTTCCTGAGAACTTTGTTGATGAAACACTTGAACTTAAAATTGTAAGTGTTTATGGATCTTCAAAAAGATAACAAACATGGATGGGAACTGAAACATAGTTAAACCAAGATAGGTTGTGAAGAATGTGCAAGCTCATGAAATTCATTTATAAACTAAAACAAGCATATCACAAAATTGAATCTTTATTTCAATAAGATAATTAAAGGAGTTGAACTTTGAGAAAAGAAGATGGACCATAATGTATGTCGATGCTACTGAGTGCATTATGGATCTTTGTTTAACATGAAAGTTCAAGGAGTTTGAATTTCGAGAAACAAAGATGAGCCATATATATATATATATATATATATATATATATATATATATATATATATATATATATATATATATATATATCAATGCTAGTGGGACCACTGTTGTGAGTCACCCTTGAAATGTATATGTTTCATATACAATTCATAGGAAATAACGTTCTAACATATCAAATGTAAAATCTTGGCTTTCCTTGGGAATTTTTTCACCTTGAATCACATGGGAGAAAAATCATACTTACGGAATGTAAGGGTCTATGGAGATAGATCCAACTATTTCATTAGGCTAAGCCAAAGCACATGGAATCTCAAAGAAACTCCAAATAGTTCATTATGTACAACATGACATTGAGGATCACTAATGTCTTAGTTCCATTATTAATCTAGAAGAAATGATTCATGTACCACATGCTTCTTCTTTTGGAATAAATCAAGTATGCCATTGCATATATCAGATCTGATGATTTGTATGCCTCGAGCATGTCAGGTTAAATCAGATAAACTTAGCGAGAATAAATGAATCAAAATCGAGTGTGTTCCTTAGTGTCCTAGGAGGTAATAGATCAACATAAAGGTTACATTGATGCTAAGTTGGAGACTAATAAAGATGATTCCGTTTGTAGTCGAGATTCATGATTTTACTAAATGGTGAAGTATTAGATTGAAAGACTACCAAGTAATACACCATAGCAGATTTAAGAATCAACTTAGAGTATATTACACCCAGTTAGAATGCAAGTGGAGTTATGTGACTAAAATAGATTCATTAGTGACATTAATGTTGAAATTCAATCATTGGTGGTCCTTTTGATGGTTCTTATGAATGTAAGGATGTACTTACCTAGAGTATAGATCCTAAGTCACACAAGATAACATAACATATACTTAGTATGTACTATCACATTTAATAGTTGTTCGAATGTAAGTACATCATAACCATTAGAATCATATTGAAAAAAATATCTTGTCAATCCATTCGCTAAGTCAATATAACTGACCGAGTTTGATAGTAAAACTTAGTCATGAGGAATTTGATTAATAAATATTTTCGCTTGAGCAAACTTAGTATAGTTTTTTTTAATTTTAAAATTTAAATAATATAAGTCTTCATCTGATTTGGCGATTTTTAAGTAGGAGGTCTTAATATATGATGAAGATTTGTCATTTCAATTAGTTTATCATTATGTTCTCCTTTTTCATGTTTTGAACCTACTTCGTAAGTATTAATTTACTCAAACTCCACTAATGTGATATTGGACCTCCGGGCATCTATTCTTCATCAGTTGATTCAAGGCTTGTAGGTGATGTATCAAAACGTGAGAAAACAGGCCGTCAACGAATTTTTGGGAGGGGTTCCCGATAGAATGTTCTGATAGTCAAGTTAGTCTTTAAGAGAGAGAGAGAGAGAGAGAGAAAGAGATGTGTGTGTAATAAAGTGTAAGGATTAGAGAGTGAAGGTTCTACCCCTTTAACAATAGAGGCATCTAGCCTTATATAGTGTGGATCAGGGCATAAATCCTGTATGTGGAGCCAAGAGTGTCAAACCCCGATTGGGATAGAGACGTTGATCGGTGGATTCTACCTTTGTCCCCTGTCCAAGTCGTAGTTGTCTTAACCATGATAACGGTATGTGTACCCTTACTAGAGTTAGCAGGTGTGTGCTTGTCGTTTATCAACTTTCCCGCGTATGTTCCAGGATGGATACGTGCCATTAGGGCCAGTTTGGCATAGGATGGGAACATAGTAGGGTGGCGATGTTGTTGAAAAGCTCAGCTGGATCGTTCATCCAGGCGTGGCTGGGAGGAACACTATCAACTGTACCTAGTCTTATATGTTATGGCGTAGGACTGCTTAGATGTGGCGGGTGCGACTACCTCATATCATGCATTCTTTTATTCTTAGTTCTTGTCGTTTTGGCTACATGATGTAGTAGTTCATCAGGCGTGACATCAACCGTTATCATTAGGATTTTCAAATTTCAGGCCCACTAACGCTCTTTATAACTTCTATCTTTTCAATTTTACTTCTCTCATATTTTCGTTCTTTGGCTTGGTTTCTTTCTCATTCTTCTTCTTTTCTGTTATGGATTCTCCGATCAGCGTCACCCCTACTCCCAATCAGTTTTCTACTCTCCAATAAAAGTACCGTTTCTAGTTGGAGGTTGGCATGACATTTCATGGGGAGAGGGTGGTATTCTTTGAACCACCGGAGGGTAAGATTTGGATTTAAATTAATCAACTTGATGCCAACTACTTCCTTCCTACTTTTGACTTTTTCCGCAACCTTAAGCATCACAAAGTTCATCTTAACCAACCCGTTCCTAATCATATAGCAAAAGTGGTGGCTTTTGAGATGCTATGTTAGGAAAATGGGATAACACCTGACGTTTGGGTATTGCGCTATTTTTTCTAATTCACATCAGCTTCTTTCGGTGAGAACTATATGTTCATCGTTTGCAAGTATAGCCATGCACTAATGATAGAGTAGAAGAATTCCCCTAAGAATTTGTCCAGTCGCTATTATTGGGTGAATGTGGATTGTATTGGATTTATGCAACGTTGGTCGAGTCCTATTTCTGACCAGTCATTTACTCTTTATGCTAATAAGGAGCAAATAGCTAGGGTTTTGTGGTGTTTTCAGGATGTAGCAGATGACTTCCTTGAATATGTCCTCATAGGTGCCAGAATGAGTACTTCTTGTCGGTTTCGAGGAACAAATCCTAAGTTTTATGTTATGGTGAAAGGTATTTTTCTTCTTTTATCTTTCATTCTTCTTCTTCCTCCTGTCTCCCTTTATTTATTGTAATTTTGTTTGCAAGTGCTGAAAAGTGGGTCGATTATATGGATGTGTTGGTCAAAATGAGGGTTGAAAGTCTCGGGTATCAGGAGGTGGAACTTGTTGACAGAGTGTTTCCATCGTTTCCCTTTCATAATAAAGCTTTTATTGCAAGAGCTTCTACCATTCAAGATGTTGAACGTCATCGTGCTGCGGCACGACCCTCTCATTTTTCTTTTGTTGACCCTATTTAGACTGATTCTATGAAAAGGAAATAGGTGGAGGATGAGTTTGTTGAAGAAAATAAAAAAGGTGATCTTTCTCGTCCTATGAATAAGCAAAACTCTGCTTGGCAGAATGTCAACAATGTGGATGTTGGGAATCTAGCTGTTGTACGACGTCTGTGTCCAAGGATGCTTGCTAGAGGAAGTTATCGTATGGTAAACCAACATGTTGAAGTTATTGATATGCTTGATGATGGAAATATGGAGAAAAGTGTGACCCCTGATATTGGCGTTGATGTGAATGATGGTGGCGGGATCAGATGGTGGTTCTTAAGTTACTGAGCGAGTATGTTCTGTTGTGGGCAATGAAGGTAGTTGTGAAAACTTTTGTTCAGTTGGTTTTAGTTGGGCTGGAGTTGGCTTTATGTGGAATACGGGGGACCAGGTTTCCATCTTTGTGGGTTTTCATCCTAGTTGGTCTTTAAGGGAGGATTCTCGTCTCTCCATGTTTGAAACTGATGTAGATTTTACGAGGAACTATTTTCCTCCTGGCATAGAAATAGAGATGGTTGGGTATGTTTTGTCTCACTTGGTTGGAACAATTTATTGGTGCAGATGATGAATGAAATATTTTATAGAGGGAGATGCATACTCTTCGTTCACAGAATGATCTGTTGTCTTCACGATCAGAGTTGCAAAGTAGAGTGTCTTAGTTGGAGGAAAACATTTTTGAGATAAACAGGGATATTGTCGAAAAGTAGGTTTTGGAAGAAAGGTTTTTTAACCCTGAGTGTGATAAGATTGCCTTGGGTGCTGATGTTAGGCGATTGAAGCAAGAGAATGAGGGTCTGATTATACAGTTGGAGAGTGTTGAGAAATATGCAGTTAAAAAATATTGAATTGTTGTGGAAAAGTCTTGTGTAGTTAAAGGTTTGGAACGAGATTTGGAATGGGTTATGAAGGAATGTTTTTCTGGAGTCATGGATCGAGTTCTGGAAATTCAAGAGTTTGGGTATGGTGTGAAACAATTTCACGATGCATGTGTTGTTGTGAGGAAAGCGTTGGGTATACGTGAGGTGACAGATTTGATGTGAAATGGTGGGAATTTAGAGGATGTGTCGAAGAGTAACGTGGATCATGAAGTGGTGTTGGATGAGGCTTTGAATCCATTGGCATCATTGGATTATGCGTCTTCGCTAGATTTGGGGAATTTGTATGTTGTCAGATTAAAACGTTTAATCCAATTTGTGACAACCGGCAAGCTTCTGGTCAAGTCAAAGTCAAGTCAGGTCAACAAGTTAATCTGGTCAACTCAACTAGTGTTTATATGTTAGGGATTTCTTTATGTTTACTAATGTATAACTATAAATCCTAATGCAAAGTAACACTTGAAAGTTTCAAATGTTCAAGATTTAAAACCCTAATCTGATTGAGGGAAGTAACAACTCTAGAAAACACTATTAAGTGCCCTTCGTGGGTGTATAGCACTCAAAATGCGATGTAACTAAGTCTACGGTCTTTGAACTATGAAGAAAAACACCAATAAAGGCTCCCGGAAAACTCTCTCTCAATCTATCCCACTGTATCTCTCTCTCTCTCTCTCTCTCCCAAATCTCTCCATGTATGTGAAATCTCTCCCAAATCTCCCCAAGTATGAGAAATCTCTCCCAAATCTCTCTAAGTATGTGAAATCTCTCCCAAATCTCTCCAGGTATGTGAAATCTCTCCCAAATCTCTCCAAGTATGTGAAATCTCTCCCAAATCTCCCCAAGTATGAGAAATCTCTCCAAAATCTCTCCAAGTATGTGAAATCTCTCCCAAATCTCTCCAAGTATGTGAAATCTCTCTCAAATCTCTCTATGTACCTTCCTCAGTCGAAAACAGCCCAAAACCGGAGGAGAAAACTCAAAAGGACCCTCCTGGTCCGGAACCCTCTTGGTCCGGAATCCTCTTGGTCCGGACTCCTCTTGGTCCGGACTCCTCTTGGTCCTAAACCTCTTGGCCGAAATCCTCTTGGTCCGGAATCCTCTTGGTTCGGAATCCTCTTGGTCCGAGCTCCTCTTGGTCTGGAACTCCTCTTGGTCCGGAACCCTCTTGGTCCGGAACCCTCTCCCTACTTCGGAACTTCTGATGGAATCTGGAATACCCGTGTTTGCTTCGGAACCTCGCACCGGAAGACCTGTTTTGCTTCGGAACCTCCTGGCCGGCTTCGCACCTCGGTCAGGACTGGTGGTTTCGCTCCGGAAATTGCATGGGCTTCAGAAATCCAAGAAAATGCTCGGAAATTAGTAGATGACTCCGGAATTTGCTTAATGGCTCCGAAACTTCTCTAAGTGCTTCGGAACCTCGCAGGAACAACCCTCCACTCCGGATTTTTGTCATTTTCAGACTTTTTCATCATTTTAAGGCATTTTGACGTTGGAAATCACACCAAACTCGTATTTTTCATATCCTAAACCCCTTATACCCCTATTTTATGCCAAAATTAATTATTTTAAACATATTTATATAAAATAATACCCAAGATTTTTTTTAGGGATTCTAATAAGATAAGGAGTTTGACTTTATGATGTGATGTAAACCTCTCATTTCCCATGCAAATCCCAATTAAACACAAAAATATCCATGGATAGAAGCCTTGTACACCAGTCCTCCATGCAAGTGTCAATTCACCTTTTATCCTCCCCACTTAGAATACGTGAACTTCTTCTCTCCTGTTATCGCACTCCTCACTTTCACATTCAGAAGACTCCTAAGAATCCTCTCAACTCCTTCAAGCTCCAAGTCTCCTTCCTTCAAGGAAAATTCCCAAAATTTTTGTAAGTGTTCATCCTCTTTTACTAGTGATTCTTCACATTATTCCTAAGATTTCATTTGTTGGGTCAAAAATATGGTTTATACTTTGCTTTTCTAAGCATTTATTGTTTTTATTATTTGGGCCGAAAATAGTATAGGATTAATTGTAGCTTGGACCGAAAACCCATGTGTTTTCGGTCTAGCATTGGATTATTTGTATTTTGGGCTTGGCCTTAGGTCCATATATATATATATATATATATATATATATATATATATATATATATATATATATAGGGTGAGAAGTGCATGTGAAGGTAAGAGCCAAGGAGCTTAAGTGTCTGTATTCTAAGGTGTGAGAGAATATAAAGAGAGAAGAAAGTGTGTGTGAATCTTGTGTATTGTTCATCATTCCACTCTTGAATACATCATAGATTCATCTTCTTCTTTCTCCTTCTATTCTATTAGATCTGAAATCATCCGTTTGATTGGGATTCCGCACCATCAAACGGATCTGATTGATAGACAAGCAGATTTGGGGACTTACAAGTGGTATCAGAGCTTGGTTGTATCAATCAATTTTTTTAGATCTGGAGCTTATTTGATCTTATTTTGAAGAGATTTTTGCGTTTTTGGATAGATCTTGGTAAAATAAGGGGGGTTTGTTCTTCGAGTTTTTCATAAAAACGAGTTTTTGATCGAGTTTTGGAGCAAAAAGGAGCAAAAACGTTGTTTTTCGTCGTAACCAGCGATTTCCGAGGAGTTTTCGGTCGGAGTTTTCGGCCGGATTTTTCGGTCCGAAGTCACGTGTTCGGTCCGACGTTTTCGGTCCGAGCTTTCGGTCCGAGGTTCGCACATGTTCGGTCTGGTGGGTTTGCGGTGCACGTGTTCAGTTCACACACGTTTTCGGTCTCGCCTCGGGTTCACGGCTCAGCAGCGTTTCCGACTTCGCACCTTCGTCCTCGCATCGCATTCAAAGCTTCGTCCTCGCAGCAGCTTCCATTAAAAAAAAGAAGAAGCGATTTTGGGGGTGTCGGGGATCGAACCCGCGTCTCCACCCTGATTAACCAGCACTTTACCAACTGAGCTACTTAGTCACACACTACTCTCCTCCCGTTTTTAATTCTTAAAGACTCCCTTCTCGGTTCATAATTTCGCAAATTCACATTTTTAACCCAAAAATTCAAAATTTTATTTTTAAAATCCTTTTTCAACCTAAAAATTTTTGATTTTAATTTTTGACTTTTAATTTTGACTTTTTCCTTTTAAAAAAAAAATGAGTTCCGCATCAATTCCGGTAAATTAAGTTTCATGTACTCCATATTGTGAAACTACTATTAAATTTCTCCGAGATCAAATCGATTTATTAAAAAGAGAAAATGAGGACCTCAAATACGAAGGCTATACTCTTAGGAAAGGTCAGAAACCTCTGAAAGCTCAATTAGAGGCCAAGACTAAGGACTTTAGGAAATTACAAGAAGATTACAGCAACAAGTGTGAAAATTACGATCACATTAAGAAAAAACTTGTTGCTGTAACTGAAGAACTTGACGCTTTGAAAATTAAGTGTGGAAAAACAGATGTTAGTTTCAAAAATGATACTGTGTCAAGTAAGACAGTCAAGTCCTTATTTGAAAACCAATTAAAATTCAAAGATAATCAAAACAAGGGTCTAGGGTATGATAGTGTCCCTCCTCCATTTAACCATTCGTATTATGTTAATCCCTTTGACTCAGTAAGAGATTGATAGAGAACCATATATGGTATATGGTAAACCAGCTGCTGAACAGGCAACTGAGGGTGTTGAGATGAAAGATACTAATGATTATGCTTCCTGTGCAGGTAAAGCAGTAGAGGATGAGAACAAGGAGAAAGCTATTGAACAATCCAATGACTCCTTGTTGGGGTACAAAGTTTTCCTTGAATGACTTTGTAATGTTTGATTTTTGTAAAACCCACTTGCATGTGGAGTATTAGCCTTGTGACACATGAGAGATAGAGAGTGAGAGAGAGACATGTAAACACCTCTATAAATAGTGGGTTCATACCACATGTAGAGGTGTGCTTGAGAGATGTAAAAGTGAGTGTGTAAGTGTGTGTTATTTATGTAGTCTAGATCTAGATCCTTTTTTGTGTAACACCATATACAATCAATACATCTCTTGAACACCCAAATCACCATGTTCATTGTGCAATCTTTAATTCCGCATGCCAAACCATGTTCTTATGTCACTACAATTGGTATCAGAGCAGGTCTTCAAGATCAAGGTGATTTTTGAAGAACGATTCTCGGTTTGGCAACTTTTGTCACAATTGGAGCAATTTTTGGTGAGTCTCTCTCTATGATCTCTCCTAATTTCTTTGAATTCGTGCGTTGCGTTTTTGATTTGTGATCGTTTGACTCGTTGGATCAAATTTTTCTTGAAAAACCCCATTGATGATTCAATAATTTTTTTTAAAGATCAAGCCAAATCAAAATTTGTGTGTTACTATTCATCGATTCAAGCCCAATACATTGTTCGATTGTGATCCAAAAGAATGGATCT